CCCTGAGGTCTATTTGTGACATACCTCTTCATGAATGCATTGTTACGTCATGCATGAATCACAACCATCTGCTTCTTATACCGTCACTTCATCCAACGTCAACTTACACAGCAATCAATTCACACAACTCATACACTACAACATGCCTTCTGCAATAGTCACCGGAGCAACTGGTACGTACCAAAGTTATTCCATTCGGTCCTATCCTCACCTCGCCTAGGCATCCTTGGCCGTGAGATTGTCTCCGAACTCAGCCAACACCGCCAACAATGGCCCACAATCCATGCTCTCTCGCGCAGCAAGAAGGAAGACTATGCCGAAAATGTCATTCACAACCACATTGACTTACAGTCTTCTCCCGATGAAATGGCCAATGATCTCAAAAACGTGCGCGGCGAATACATTTTCTTCGCCGCCTACCTAGCCCAAGACAAAGAAGAAGACGCCTGTGAAGTCAACGGCCGCATGCTCTCCAACTTCCTCTCCGCCCTCGAAAAGACCGGCGCAGTCTCAGATGTCAAGAGAATCATTCTAGTATGTGGTTGCAAGCAATACGGTGTGCACCTAGGCATGCCGAAACAACCCATGACTGAAGACTTGCCCTGGCTGACCGACACGTCGAAATGGCCCCCGAACTTCTACTACAACCAGCAAAACATACTGCACGAGTTTTGCACCAAGCACAACAAAGAGTGGGTAGCCACCTACCCCAACGACGTAATCGGCTTCGCTGTGGGAAACTTCATGAATCTTTCTTCCGCTATTGCCCTCTACACCCTCGTGTCCAAAGAGCTCTCCGGAAACGAAGGTCTCACGTTCCCCGGCTCACCCACTTTCTACACCAAATTCGACTCCTTCACTTCTTCCAAGCTGCACGCCGAGTTCTGTGCCTGGGCGGCTCTGGAGCCGCGCGCTGCGAATCAGGCTTTCAACGTCGTCAACGGCGATGTGGAAAGTTGGCAGAACCTCTGGCCCAAGGTCGTTGAGTACTTTGGCGGGAGGGTTAAGCCTGATCAGTTCAAAGATGCGTATACAACCGGTGGTGTGGGATCCAGCCTCATCAAGAGAGTCGTGGGCAAAGAGGACATGTCGAGTGCTATGGATATGGCGCCTCAGCCTCCTATCAGTGTTGTTGCAGATGAGATTGGTATTCAAGGCACGCCGGCGCTGGAGAAGAATGTCGTGGAGCAGCATGTGGATTTGGTCAAGTGGTCGCAGCGGGCCGATGTCAAGGCTGCATGGGAACTTCTTGCTGAGCGCGAGGGTTTGGACAAGAGTACTTTTGACAAGGCGACGTGGGCGTTCACGGGGTTCGCATTGGGACGCAACTTCGATCTGGTGATTAGCATGAGCAAGGCAAGGGAGTTTGGCTGGACTGGCTACAGAGATACCTGGGCAAGTTTGAGAGACGTGTTTGAACAGATGAGGGGAGCTGGGTATCTACCAAACGCTTAGTTGGAGATGCATTGCATAGTGCCTCTGATGATAGTCCCAATAAAAATGTTTGTGGTATACTTTTATTTTCCCCTTGCCTTGCTTTAATGGGTATATAAGCTCTACCGATTGTAACACCTTGGGTGGTTGAAATTCTAGAATACAGCACCTCCAATGATGAATACTCTCTCCTCTTCTCGTCGCACCCACTGAATGACCTTATTCGCACTCTGTGCAAGCGCTGCCCTCGACGTATTTGCCGGTGCAACAGCATAAAGCTCAAACAGCGGTGTACTCCACGCTAACGCTATACACGTCGTGTTGGTTTCATGATGCACCTTAAGCGTCGACGGCTTGTTGTGCAGATTACTGTGAAGTTTATTGTACAGGTCGATCAATCTAGAGGAGACGATAGTGTCAGCAAGGCTTCTTGGTATGCATGTGGGGCAGTTGATTGCGAAATCACGTGCCAAGGGTGGGGATACGGACCGTCTCTTCTCCAGATCACCCTCGAAGTAAGGTGTGTAGCTCGGCATGGTAAACTGCACATTACCCCTCGACTTGTACAGAAAGTGCCTCAGCGGACTGCCGGGCACAATGTCTGTACAAGTGGGACGGCCTTGCTGCACAGCTGTGCGTATAGCCTCAATGGATCCATTGCGTTGCAAGCTCTGCGGAAACACCCGTTAGCCCACGAAACATCTACCGAAAGCAATGCTCTTTTGTTAAATAATCCTGGCCATATTGGAACCAAACGAACGGGACCATCGAAGGACCGAAAGGACGCGGTGACCGGGGCAAAGGGAAGGGAATGCGGAATCCGAACGGGAGGATAGGCTAGGACCATCGGAGATGCTGACGTCCGAAGCCGAATCGCAAAGTTGCCCCGTGGGCCTCGTACGGGTATACAATTCGCGCTTACCGGCAATAAACCCATGAGAACCCATGAGCGAACACCGAGAATGAGTCAATTTCGCCTCCGAGCCCGTTCGAGCCCACATCGTTCGACGCATCAATCTTAAGGCACGGGACAACGTCCTGGGGCGGGAAACAGAGGCCATTTGACTAGCATTCCACGCGTCCTCACGTCTCATCCCGGTCCCCCGTGTATTAAGGAGACTTTGCAGTGGAATGTAAAGAAACTGTGAGCTTACCTCGACTAAATCATCCCTCATACGTCTAAGCTCGAAGAAGCTTTCCTTCTCCGCACTGATCAGGAGGACCGCGACCTCGTCGTCGGCTCCATCGCTCGTGCGAGGCCGCTCTTGCATTTGCTCCGTTGGATGTTCGAGATTGAGGAAGCTTACGTACATGTACAAGTAGCCGGTGTTGTTGAACCCTGGCAAGCATAGTGGGATCCAGTTTTCTCCACCCCCAGCCTTGACGCTACCGGCTTCGAAGAGCATGTTGAAGATCAGGTGCAGGTCACCAGGGTGCAGACTATGCTTCTTGGGCCGGACGACGGACACGAGCTTCCCGGATGCGACGAGAAGACCGTAGAGGAGGTTCTCGGAGCGGGTCTTCAAGAGTGTGTTGTTGATGGTGGTGCGATGGGACTTGCGGAGCTTGAGGCACTCGAGAGCGGAGAGCAGTGTCGATGGTGAGCCTCTCGTGAAGCCATCTGCAAGCGCTGATAGTAGTGTCTCTGTTCCTTGCAGCGGTCTGCGAAGATCGTAGTTCGCACGCGCAGCAAACATGCGCTCCATACTAGGAAGCGTGAGAGTGGATAGGATCTGCATGTAGAGTGCCTCGAGCTGTGACCGGAGCTGCGAGTCGCTCTCTGGTAAGCGCGTGATGGCTACCAGATTCAGCGGGCCCTTGGACATGACGACAAAGCGTACGTCCCCTGCTGTGAATCCTCTCAATATATCGTTGGTGGACTGGTAAAAGGATATGATGGTCTGCACGACACCAATGTAGTTCGTGATGAGCTGGTCGTCGCCATGTCGGCTGTAGATGGGCTTGCCGGCACTCGAGAGGATGAGGAAATGCTTCAGTTTTGCGCGCCACTGGTGCATAACGGCTTCTATTGACTACATCAGCGAGGGCTACCTCTAGGTACATGCCGCGTGTCTGACCTTCATTCGACCCGTCCAAGGCCATCTCGTCGACCTCATCGAACTCGCGGCGAAAAGCCTCCTCAAAGTATGGGTCCGGCGGGAACATGCTTTGCGCTTCGGCATCGACGAACTTGTGGCCCAGCGTCCTGAGCAGTGACTTCTCTTGCTCGGACTTCTCTGCCTGGCCCATGACTTCGCCCAGGAGGCTCTCCTGATAGCCTGCCGCCTCTATTGTCGGCGCATAGCTGCGTATACTCGCGCCGTCGTCGGCATCGCTGAGGTTGTGAGCGCCTAGGCTTGCGCCCAAGACGTCGCGTGTCTTGGGTCCCGAGGACGTGGGCGACTCATCTTTCGCGTCGGTCGCGAACGCCTGTGTCCGCGCGACAGACAGCTGTGTGGTGGCTTTTGAGAGGAGTTGGGGTCTCCCAGCGGCCGTAGAGTGCGACGTCGAGGGTCGTGAGAGTAGACCGAGGGCGGGTCGGGGTGGCAGCGGCGGAGGGGTTTCTTCTTTGGTCGCCACCGAGCTGGCAGACGTGCTGCGCGAGAAGTTCCGTATTATGCTGAGAGTTGGATTGGCAAAGTCCTGCTGCTCAATCGGCTCCCCAGTAATCGACTTGGCCGACGCATTGCTGCTCTCCTGCGTGGGTGTGGTGGGCGAGCTGGGTCCCTCAGAGATCGGCGTCTGGGGCTCAGCATTCCCAGTCTCGGCCATCAAGACAGCGGGCGAGGGTCATCTAGACAGCGGCGTCGTGTTTACTATGGCATGGCGCGTCAACAGAGGCGTGCATGTCGCGAAGCTCCGTGATCGTGACGCTTATCCATGTAATCCAACACGCTTGGGCCAATGACGTGGCTGCCCTATCATCGACACTGCACCACTGCATGATCGACTCGCGCTGACCCCGTCTCGCTTCTGCAAAGACATGGGCATGACATGCGCGCAGGAATCCTATTCCTAGCATACCGACACCTCACACTGGTGCGCGTTGCTCACCGGACCCCACAAATAGCTCCCATCTGCCCGTCTCACCTACCTACCCTCCGCTACACTCACGGTTACTTCACCGACAACATCAAGACTTCACAACTTCCATCCTGTTTCTCGCCACGCGCAATCGTGCGCTGACGCATTCTCGCCTCGTCTCGTACTCAGCTGTGCCAGCATAGCTTACTATTCTTAGCTTAACTAGGCGTACAGCATTTCCTCATCCGGTATATCATAGGGCTCGTACAAAGTGTGGTTGGCATCTCAGGCGTAGTGAGAGTAGCGGTATGCATGATGACCTATTATCAGCCTCGTGTTTGGGCGACTTGACGAAAAAGTAAACCAAGTGAGCCAGAACAGAGAGCATCACGCGCCTTCCGCAGTACGGTCTGGGCAGCACGGTGTATTACAGCAAAGGAGTTCTCAGTTTGGTCAAAGCCATCGGACCTCACTCTCGCAAGCAGATTCCCCCAACAGTCCACACCGGCGCCGGTGCTATGTATCGAAGTCCGAATCAGCCGATGCCACACCTCTCAACGACAGACAACGTGACGACAATCAACTATACTCTGGAGTGGCCTCATCTCGAGAACCCCAGCAACACCACCTTTGCCGGACAAACACAAATCGACATTTGTCGATGTCCAAGATCCGATCTTCCCTCGCAAGACAGCAGAGAGCCGGGCCACATCTACACTCGAAGCAAATGCGTCGGCCCCGAAGTCCGCTTCAAAACGAGAAAAGAAGAGCTATGGGTGCTCCAATCTGCCCATGGACCAGTCAACATGTTGCGACCGGCAACAAAAGAAGAAAAGGAGCGCCGCAACCAAGTCCATGAAGATGCCGAGCCGACAGTATACGAACGCCGCAACTTGCTTCTCCTAACAGGGCCGTGCCCGCGCGGACGGTACCAAGCGTTTGCGACTCAAAAGTGGTTAGAAAGCATCGGTCCATCTGCTCGCCAACACGTTAAAAGTCTATCTCTTCTCGTGCAGCCCTACGAGGAAGACTGTTCAGCACAGGCTACCCAAAGAGCATTTGCCGAGCTGGCCAATTACATTCTGGAGCACTTGACCGGATTCAAGACGCTGTGTCTCAACATATGGGATGATGAGATGAGCCTCTGGGGTGCTGCGAGCGAGTTCAGCATCCTTCTACACAGAGATGATGTAAAGATCATAGTCGGGTGTATTTTGTGGAGTGGTGAGACAAGAGAGTACAGCAATGCTAGAGCATTCTTTGAGGCCATGACTACACCGCCACACACGACAAATACGCGGCCATTCAGCAATCAGATCATGGGCGATGACAATGGGGAGGATAGCGCGGATGAGCAAGAAGAAATTCAGGAGGATTCGTCTGATGGACTCGGCACAACAGAGGATGAGATAAGGGATGACGGAGAGCCCAAAGAGACGTCTGGATCTTCACCATTTCTCAAATCCGACACCGAAGACGAGATTGGATCTGAGGATGATTGGACCGACGCAGCTATGAGCCCTATGGAAACTGAGAAAGATTGGCAGATACTATAAACACTCTCTGGGTATTACGTTAGTTGCTATGGCGCGGCAGGAGAAACAAGCCGGGTCAAGTTCCATCGTGACTCTTGGTGCTTGGGCAGCAGCGACGCAGGGAAGGCACGTACAAGGTCCCCTACGAATGCACCGAGAAGAACCCACAATACAGACGAGGTAGCGAACATCTAAACAAAGTGCCAGACGTCTATTTTGAACTGCTACAAGATTGTTCTGATTAACTTTCCACTTTTGTCTCACAAGACATTCGGCATCCCTGCCTCAAGACGTAAGCCTGAACATCGGATGGTCGTCACCCAGATTATCAGCATCCACCTCTTGCAGTCTTCCATCCCTCTCGCCCCTCTCCCTCTTCGCGTTCTCCCATTTGACTAAGAACAAAAGTCCGGTGCAAGCCGCAGCACAAATCCACAACAAACCCAGGCTGGTTCCATATCCCGTCCGAAACCCTGGCAGTTCGCTCTCCAGAAAGATGTTACTCGCCACGACACCTCCCAGGTTACCGAATCCAACTTGCATAGCGGAGCTGACCGAGCGCTTGTAGTGTCCAGACACCAGATTCGACATCCAAGCGAGCACGATGGGCTGAGTGATGAAACCGCCAGGTGTAACGAGAAAGAGGGCAAAGTACTTGACACCAGCTGGGAGGTTTTCTTGGGCGAGAAGCATGATGTAGCCAATTGATGCGACGACGAGCCCGAACATGCAAAACCAATAGCGATGGCGCATGCGATCGCTCAGCCAGGCTGCTGCGACGGCTGCAATGGTTGCCACGATGAATATAGGTATCGAGCGTACTTGGGCGGCAGAAGACGTGTAACCGAGTCCTTTGACGATAGTTGGAGTGAAGATGGAACCAGCAGTGCCGGTATTGACGACTCCTAACAGGTGGAAGCGCATGGTCAGCACGTATCCTACTGCAGATGCTAGGAAATGAGATAGCACTGAGAATACTCACCAAAGTATGCAAGAGTCCCCAGATAGATCTTGGGATCTGAGAAGATTCGCTTCGCAGCTTTCTTGTCCAACCTGTCCATGACAGCATCACCTGTGTCGGCGTTGAGGCGTGCTAGGAGAAGGGTCTTCTCTTCCATGTTCAAGAATCCTGCTTTCTCGGGCCACCCAGGTATCCAAAAATACATGATGACACCGAATGCAACGGTGACGGCACCCTCGATGATGAAAATCCAGCGCCTAAATGGTCGACGAAGTCAGTGTTCGGTTCAAACACGATCATGATGAGGTGTGCTTACCATCCTCCATAGCCTGCGATGCCGTCCATCTTGGCAATAGCGAATGCAAGGAGCTGCGAGAGGTTAGTACGAACTACCGATTGACATATGTATACTTACGCCACCGAATGCTCCAGCGATGATGCTCGCGCTGAAGAAGAGTGTGATACGCCACTGAAGCTCGTAACGCTTGTAATACATCGAGATCAGGTACAGGCATCCAGGAAACAACCCTGAATGTTGGTTCGTGAAGTCAGTAAATGTTGCACCTGCGATTCGTACATGGACAATACTAACCAGCTTCGAAAAGACCTAGCAGAAGGCGCATCGCTAGTAGACCACCAAAGTTGGTGATAAGGCCCATTCCGACTGTCGAAAGGCCTGAGGCTCGTTAGCATGGCACTCACATGTCAATTTGCGCGACTAACCCCAGCAGATCATGATCAGGCTAAGCCATGTCGAAGGCTTCATCTTTTTCAGGATGAGATTTGACGGTACCTCAAAGAGGACATAGGGGACGAAGAATATCGATAAAGCGAGGTTGTAACGATAGGCCAACGGGCCTGTCATGTTCAAGTCCTCGGTCAAGCCTTGGATCTTCGCATTGCCTACGTTCTGTTAGCTCGCAAACACGTTAATAGAGTGGCAGCAACGTACCGATGTTGACACGGTCCAAAAAGGCTAGGAGAAACAGAACAAAGAGAGGCGGAAGAACGCGAAGGTCGCACTTCCGAAGGAGTTTCTTCTCAGCGTACGGGTCGATATGAGTTCCGTATGTATCGTTAAGCACCACGGTCTTATCGTCTGGCACACTCGATGGTTTCATTGTCGAATTCTCCATGGTCGATGTAAGAGTGACGACGACGCTTAATCGGCGTCTGGGCTACAGGATATATAGAGCACGGCGATTTCTGGGATGTAGTCGCCCCGCAGCTGCAGCGTACTACTACCTCAGTAAGGGTTGATGAGGCGTGATTAACAGTAGCCAATTAAACGATATCGTCATTCATCGGCGTGCACACCCGGTGGACGGGCACGGTTCCGCGTTCTGGGGAAGCCTGCGAGGTAGTGGAATAGTGCCGCACGTCTTCCGCTGATCGACAAAGAATATGGGACGGCTTGGGACAGTAGTGACTAACCTCACATGGCTTGAGACGTTGGTAGCCAGGTGAGGCTGGGTAAAAAGCAAGGCAGCGACAAAGTGTAGACATCAGGTACGAGGGTGCGATACGGCAACGCCGCCTTCTACACTCAATAACCATGCACTGCTCTTTCCTGAAATTTCGAGACGTACTAAATTGCGTGTTGGAACTCAATATGCGTGTACCGGATCTGCCACGAAGAGAGTAGTTTCGCAAACGACGCCTATCTCGAGGGAGTATGTCGCTTCAGATGACAGGCCATCCTTCCCAAATGAAAAGTGCCGACGTCGAAGGGTACTTGTAATGACCGATTTTCAAGAAGCAGTTAGGAGTGAGGGCGGTGCCAAGTGACAGTGACGCCATCCGGTGAGGATTAAGTTGACATTGAAACTTAAAAACGCAAGCACGACCGGAACTCCAGAAAGTGTATGTGCGAGCTCGGGAGATATCGACATCATCCCACCGAGGTTTGGAAAGAGATGATACACGTGTTAGAAGTAAGCACGTTCGAAGTCTACATCACCTCAAGATGTTGTAGGTCGCATTGCATTAATACTCTAGTATTAGGGTAATGTTGTCTAATCTTTGTTATAATTTTATTTAAATCTAACAACTTATTCCTTTATTTCTTGCAGCAATATATATTATAAGATTACGCCTGCTAAAGCCTTTCTTATTATTATTATTTACTACTACTACTACTATCCTTAATACTAGAAGCTAGCTTTTCTTAGTATAGCTACTATCTACTTAATATTTCTTTTGCTAAATAACTAATCTAGAAAGACTTTCTCTTTCTCTTTTATCTTAATCTTAAACCTAAGCTTCTATATTAAGTTTTTTAGCCTATTATATTAGTAATTAATATAGTATCTTGCTAGCGCTATATCTCTATAGTTAAGTTTAATTACTTTAAGAAGAAACTAATATTCTAGTAGTATAATTTTAAGAGCCTACTAAGTAGTTACCTAGAACTAGACTTTCTTACTATTATAATAGTTATTAAGGTCTCTTAGACTAGTAAGTATAATAGCTTTATAGCTATTTCTAATTAGCTTAAGAGTATAGAGAAGGCGTAGTAGAAAGAGCTTATTCTATAAGTATAGCTTTATAGTTTTAATGCTATTTCTTAATAAAATAATAAGCCTATAAGTATAGTTTAGAGAAGTAGAGTATACGCTAATATAGAAGTAACTATTAAAAGTAGCTATTTTAAATCTTTAGAGTTAGTAAGAGTAGTATAATAAGATAAAGTACTAACTTAGAGTTCTAGGTAATAGAGTATAAGAGAAAGAAGTAGAGATTAAAATAGTAGCATTTTAATATAAAGTACGTTTACAGACTTTTCTTTTACTACTATAACTAAATTCTATAGCTTTAGTTATATTTTTAGGCCTAAAAGAGCTTATAAAGTTTTATAGTTCTTATTATAGAGGTGTCTTCTAGCAATTTAATAATTTTTTTATTTATAGCTTGTCTCTAAGCTAAAAGGCCTAAGACTATTAGTAAAGCCTCTTATAACCTGTAAGTAGGCGGAGGGCCTATTTTTTTGTAAATTTACTTGTAGAAGAAAGCGTTTAAGCTAGAAATATTCGTGTATTTAACAAAATTCAAAATTTAAGATGTTGTAAACTCTTGGTCTTATATTAACGTAGGCTGCAGCCCAACTCCTCGGCTTCCCTTTGTGTAAGGTGATGCCAGAATGCTGGTCATGAACTCCGTTGTGCGCGCGAAAGTCGTGTCGGCAAACCATGCGAGGATGATGCAGCAATGGAGCAAACAGCGATATTGCGAGCCACTCTCTAGAATCCTGTGATTGATTCTCGAATGCTATCTGCGAGGACTGAAGGCATGGTGATGTTGTGATGCCCACCTGGTGTTGCCGGTGCACACCTGGGCAAGCCTCGTCACGCTACCACTAGCGCGAAATCCCGCTCGCTTACGAGCTGCACCACACCTGGGCACAGCAAATTCGTTCCCCGACATCAGCTCTTCGACAATACCACACAGCCAAATCGACATCCACAACCGTCGCCATGGCCAGTACGTTGACGGTAGCTCACGACTTACATGGCTAGGATACTAACGGAGCTGCGCAGAATCCAAGAACTCGTCCCAGCACAACCAGTCCAAGAAGAACCACCGTAACGGGTACGCATCACCCTCCTCCATCGCACGCGCCATTGTCCCGCAGACGAAGCATCTACAACGCGAAGAACTATGGATATCTATATGAGAACAAAAGCTGATGCAATGGCAACACAGTATCAAGAAGCCCAAGACCCACCGTTACCCCTCGCTCAAGGGAACCGACCCCAAGTTCAGGAGGAACCACAGGCATGCTCTTCACGGCACCATGCGCGCTCTGGTGCGTACCAACACCTCACCGTCCCACGGGAACACGGCCCGCTAACAAACACACAGAAGGAGGTCAAGGAGGGCAAGCGCGACTCGGCATAAAGGACGATACGATCACGAGCGAGCGACGATGGCGGTTTTCGATTCCTTTATGAGACATCTGGTCGGCGTCAATGGCATTCGGACTTTCTATGACAGCTTCGAGCTCGAGGGATTGGAGCACGCGGCTTCACGCCTACTGCAGGCATGGAATGCGGCAATGAAA